TTTAAGTGGAAACTGTCACTTTAAATTTTGAGGTGATTTGTGTGCATGTGTAGTAGAACCCTCCAAGGGTGGGGGTGGGGTATCCATTTGCTCAGTCATCCCCTCTAATCACCAGAATAGAGGTGCGCAGCCAGCGAGAGACGAATGAACAGATATCAAAAAACGAATGTCCACCCCTATATCTCCATGGTTCTGTCAGGCGTTCATGGCTGTTCTGATCCTTCCCCCACTTGGTCTCTCCCAAGTGGGAATAGCTGAGCATCTTGATTTAGAAAGCAATGGATTTCTTGATTCTGCTACAAATTACCCTAGCTATAAGCCTTCCAAGCTTCTAAATATTCCTTTATATGTGGTTCAGAGTTCTAGCACCATCCCCTAAACCTGCTTGGCCCGGTATTCTGTGTTGTTGGTGACAGAGCTCCTCACTGCACATCTACCCAATCTGCCATCTTGACTATATCAATGAAAGACTTAGAGCTAGAAAACTAAGCTGAAAGAACTGAAGAAAAACTTTCAAGCCTCAACTTGCAATATTAAAGGGTTCTATGGACAAGAATTGATGCTTTTGAGTTATGGTGTTGGAGGAGAATATTGAAAGTGCCATGGGCTGCCCATACAATCAATAGATCTGTGTTGGAAGATGTGCAGCCAGAGTGCTCCTTGGAGACCAAGATGGCCAAACTTCATGTCTCATACTTCAGACATATTGTCAAGAGGGATCAGTCGCTGGAGAAGGATATCATGTTTGGTAATGTGGAGGGTCAGATAAAAAGAGGAAGACCTCCAGCAAGATGGATTGGCCAAGCGGCATCATCAATGAGCTCAAGCGTGGCCACGATAGTGAGGTTGGCCCAGGATCAGGCAGTGTTTTGTTTGGCTGTGAATAAGGTCACTATGAGTCAGCACTGACTCGATGGCACCTAACAAGAACAACATGGACAAAATATTGAATGGTGCCAGAAACATCAAAAGAAGATGGAAGGAATATACAAAGTCACTGTATAAAAAATAAACAGTTGATATCCAACCATTTCAAGAGGCAGCATATAATTAAGAGTCAATGGTACTGAAGGAAGAAGTCCAAGATGTACTTATAGCATTGACAATGAATAAGACCCTGGGAATTGATGAAATACAAATGGAAATACTTGGCCAGCAAAAACATGGAAAACTGGATGAAACAGATTCAGAGGATGGTCAAGGAACTCTGAACTTCAGACAAGGGGATAAATAAGGGGATATAGTGCTTACCAGAAGTTAAGATTTGGAGCAGAAGTAAGAAGGGAGGTGGCTTCTGATTTGGGTGGCCAACATGTCCTGCCACAACCATTTTGAACAAGAGTGAGTGGAGAGAGGGTCAAGACATTCCAGAAAATGCTCCCAGCTTTATCTCTGAATGATCTGCAGAGATAAGTTTGGGAGCATTCCTTTTCTTAATATTCCTTTCTCTTTTTTTGATATATTTACTCATCTCTACTCTGGGGACTAGAGGGGAAACTTCATCAAGTAGATACTCTCAGGGTAGGTTTGGCTATGCATGCATAATGATCTACACAGTGAGGATTGCAGGGCACTGAACTGAAGAAGGGGACGGAGTCAACAGGAAGAACTTGCAATAGGAGTGTCTTCCAAAGTTGATCTAGCCTAGGAGAAACAGCTGAATTGACTTGAAGGAAGGGAGAAAAGGCCAAAACCAAAACTTTGAGTTCATCATAAGGCATAGCAGAACTTCTTGAAATTTTTCAGCAACTCTAAAGGCAAGAGGGCATATTGTTGTTGTTGCTAAGTGCAGTCGAGTCAATTTCAAACTCATAGTGACTCTGAAGAGCAGCTGATAAGTTTGAACTGCTGACCCTGCAGTTCAAACTGACCTTGCAGTTCAGTACATTAAACTGCAGTGCCACACCAGGAGGCACTAAATTCTTACTCATTTTTCCCCCATGGGTTTTTCTTACTTTCTTTCTTTTTTTTTTTTTTTTTTTTCGTTCCCTGGGTTTTTATGATTTTCAACTATCATGTTTATTTATTTATTTTTTTTGTCCTCTTTCTGTCTTGAGGGAGCTCTTTCTCTTCTTGCCTTACCCAACAAGATACAACAATTGCAGCCATACAGCCAAAGCACAATCACACCTTACAAAACCCTATCATCTAATAAAAAACAAACAAACAAAAAACCCCACCATCTGAGCAAGAGCCAATACAAGCTGCTACACACTTAGCAGCATCTACAACCAACACTTGCAGAAAACATTCTGCATTGAGCTTTAAGAGCAGTGAAAAGAAAAGCCCATCTCCTCGTCACAACTACCATGAGGTAATTGGAGAGTACTTAAGAACACACCAACATGCATTCATGTAATTAATACAACTACAACACGACAATGCCTATAAAGCAACAGAAATTTGCTGTTTATGGCAGAAACAAGATAGAGTAGCTCAAACAAACTACCAAAAGGAAGAGGTAAACTTTGCATTGTAGGGAGAACAGACTTTGGAACTGCCTGAAAAGGAATTCAAAAGAATGATGTTGAGGTGCATCCAAATGTTCCATAGAAAGTTTGAGGAAAATAAGGAAATCAGAAAAGAGCTATAGGATTAATCAAACAAAATAGCTATAGCATTGGAGACAATACAAAACCTGCAAAAAGGGGTCCAGGCAATCAATACTAAATCCAGAAATGGACAATTCACTGAAAGAGCAAAGGAGTAATATTGAAGGGATGGCAGCCAGAATCAGTGAGCTTGAAGACAAATCTCTGCATACAGCTAAGACAGAATAATAAGCAGAAAAATGAACGAAAACATCTGAAGAAAGTCTAAGATTCATACTGGACAACATGATGAGGAATAACCTACAGTTGATTGGAGTTCCAGAACAGGACAAACCAAAGAAAACCACAGAAGAGATAATCAAAGAGCTTCTGAAAGAAAATTTCCCTAACCTCTTGCAAGATGAGAAGATAAACATTCAAGAAGCTGAGCAAACCCCAGGTAGGTTACACCACAAAAGAAAATCACGAAGACATATCATAATCAAGCTCTCTAAAATCAAAGACAAAGAAAGATTCCTAAAATAGCTAGGAAATAAAAGTGTTACCTACAAAGGCAAGTCAATAAGATTAAGTTCTGATCTCTCAGCAGAAACCATATAGGCTAGAAAGCAATGGGAAGACATATACAAAACTGTGAAAATAAAGACTGCCAACAAAAAATCATACACCCAGAAAATTTGTCAATCAAATATGATAGTGAAATCAGAATACCCTAGGACAAACAGAAATTAAGGGATTTTATAAAAGCCAGTCAGTGCTTCAAAACATACTAAAGGGAGTTATTTGCACTGAGATCCAGCAAGAGCAGACAACAACCAAATCAGCCTGAATCAGTCGAGAAATGAAAGAGCCTGGAGCAGAAGAAAATTAACAAGAATGAAATTAGGGTACCTAGGAGGCCAGTCTATGATCATGACAACTACAATGCAAAAGAAGGGAAAAATATAGGAACAGAGAGCCAGGTGGTGAGGGGTTCATGTAGATTTCAGGATAAAACAAACTGTTTTAAAAGGAGAAAGAAATTTATAGTACATATGGTAATATTTAAAAAGCTTAATACTTCATAATATATCAAGGAAAGGAAAATCCACGAAGATTATAGAAATATTAAAATTATGGAGAAATTGACAAGAAAAAGCACAAAACAAGTAACTCAGCACAAGAAGGCATGCAAAACAAAGAAACTAGCAGAACCACCTAAAAACACACAACATAATGAGAGCAATTAATTCATACCTATTGATAATTACACCGAATGTCAACAGATTAACCACACCAGTCAAGAGAGAGTGGCAGAATCAGTAAGAAAACAGGATCCTTCAATATACTGTCTATAATAGTCATACCTGATAAAAACAAAAATAGATTAAGAATTAAAGGATAGAAAAAATATATACCAAGCTAGTTGCAATAAAAAAACAAACAGGAGTGGTAATATTAATCTCTAATAAAATAAACTTTAAGGAAAAAATCCGGCATAAGAAATAGAAAGTATTAATAATTTTTAAATTATCTCATGATTAAAGGGTCAAGTGAAAAAGAGACTATAACCATAATAAATATCTATGCTTCCAATGAATGAGGCCCAAAATACATAAAGTAGACCCTAATAGAATTGAAGAAAGAAAGACAAATATACAAAAGTGGAAGATTTTCATATACCATTTTTGAAAAAGGACAGAAAACCTGAAAGAAATTCAACGTAAGACACAGTGGAGTTTAATAACATAATCAACCAACTTAAACCTCATAGATTTGTACAACACATTCAATCCAACAACAATATAATACACATTCTTTTCCAGTGCACATCGAACATTTTCCAGAATAGACTATGTGTTAGGCCACAAAGCAAATCTCAATAAACTTTAAAACATCAAAATTCTACAAAGCATCTTCCCAGATCATAATGCTATAAATTAAAAATCAATAGGAAGATCAAGGAAATAATGTCAAATACATGGAAATTAAATAACATCCTGCTAAAAAGCTCCTGGATCATAGAACAAATGAAAAGCAAAATTTAAAAATTCCTAGAAACAAATGAAAATGAAAATACAACACAACAAAACCTTTGGGACACAGCAAAAGGAGCCCTGAGATGACAATTTATAGCAATAAATTCACACATCTAAAAAGAAGAAAGAGCCAAAATCAACACATTAATACAACATCTTCAACAATTAGACAAATACCAGCAGAGTAAACCTACAGTCACCAGAAGAAAAGAAATAATAAAGATTAGAGCAGAAATAAACGAGATAGAAAACAGAAAAACTATAGAAAGAACCAACAAGAAAGAAGTGGGTTCTCTGAAAGGATTAATAAATTTGCCAAACCATTGTCAAATCTATAAAGAAAAGAGGGAGAAAACATAAACAACACACATAAAAAACCTCATGTGTGATGTCACAACAAATGGAAATATCTTTCAACAAACTGATGCAGCACTGAAGGCACTTACCTATGCCAAGAATTTTGGAAGGCAGCTAACTTGTTAGCTGATTGGAATATATCCATATTTGTGTCCATTCCAAAGAGACATGACACAATAGAAGGTGAAAATCATCAGACAGTGTTATCAGCCCACAGTCTGCTTGTGTTTCTTTTCTCTCACTGCTCCTGTTCAGTTTCTCTTCCAGTAGGCACTCAACCTACATCTCTGTCCTAGCTGATGCTCAGCATTCCTGAATCATTATTTGTATTTTTCTCTGTCTCCCATACCTTTGTTGCAGGGGGTCGGCTCAGTGAATCTACTTACTCTGCCATCTTAACCAGGATTCCTCACCTACTATCTTAAAAAAACACTATAAAGTGAAATCACAAAAGCTACATATAAGATTCAGTAGGAATTGTTGGGTTGTTCTGAAAATAGTTTAAATATAACAGATGAAATAGATAGTTTAAATCATTATTTTCAAATATCTAAGTTTAAAATAATTTTGAATTGTATCTTCATTCTAAGGAGCGAACCGTAAGGTCAGCATTCGAAACTACCAGCGGTTCCACGGGAGAAAGATGAGGTGTTTTGCTCCTGTAAAGATTAACAGCCTCGGAAACCCTGTGCAGGGTCGCTATGAGTCGGAACCGACTCCACGGCACATAACAACAACAGCATCTTCATCCTAGTAATAGAATTTTCCCACTCTTTTTCACTTGACCCTGTTACAGTAACAAGAAGTTCAGAAACCAATTACCTCTTTGTTGCCAACCCTCTGCATGGCATCCCCAAGGTGAAAATAAAATCGGCCATCATCAGTGCCAGGATCACCAGATTCTATCCCTTCCTATAGGAAAGAACAAAAAGAAAACTAAAGAAAAGGAAGGGACATTGTGAGGATTTGTAAAATAATTAAACACCAGATCTAAGTTATTTATTTCATCTTTACATGACGTATGAAAAGCTAAGAACCAGAAATACATTTAAACATTACAGTTTGGCAACTGGTCAACAATTCCAAAGAAAACCAAAGGAGGTCATAAAATTATACTTACAAAAGAATGTGGACTAATCCATAAAGTTAACATGATATTTTAGGAATCTTCACTGTGGTAGCAATCATATGTCAACATTATAAAGAATTCTCTAGACATGTATCTATTGTATTTATTTTGTCCTCCAAATCTGACCACATGTCATCTAGAGACATATATTCCTTAATCTAAATGCTTAATTTCCCATAAGATATTTGAGATGATAAGACCTAGTTGCAAGTCATATTTTTCAATTCAAAGAACATCCTCACTGCTTAGTGCCATCTAACAAAACAAATAATAGGATTAACCTAATTTGTTTCTTTAAAAAGGCATTACTATAAAACAAATCCTATCTGAAAATACTGAACATTTTTGCTAAGATTTAAATTTAAAAAAAGATGAGAAAACATTAAAATAAGATTAATTTATAAAAACTAATCGACGGCACGTAACAACAACAACAAAAGTAGGATAAACGTCAAAAGTATTTAAATATCTAGGAATTCTCCCTAAAATATGCATCTTTAAGGCTTCGTTACAAGAAGCTCATTATTTTTCCTAAGACATTTTACTTTAATAACAGAGAAGCATCATACAGTACAGGAGAAGAGCTGTGTAGAGAGTTCTTGACTGACACTAAAATGTCCTCCCTTGTAAATTAAGTTGGTTTGAATTTTCCCATTTCTAGAACAGGAAGCGTATTATTAGAATCAGTGCAGTGGTTACAAATTTGGATGCTAACTTCAAGGTCAGTAGTTCGAAACTACCAGCTACTCTACAGGAGAAAGGTGAGTCTTCTGCTCTTGTAAAGATTTACAGCCTCAGAAACCAAATACAGAATTGTTATGAGTGTGAATCGACTCCATAGCACACCACTAACATAGTAATGGAAATATAAGTGGAAGGATGTAAATCAGGGAAACTGACATGCCACAGGCACATAAAGAAAGGTTTTGCAGTTGACAGGTAGCAGGCAGGATAGATTGGAGGTAGAACATCCAAACTTAAGTTCATGCCATCACTCAGCTCCCTGTGGGGGGATGTGAGCCAGACAGGACTTTTCAAGAAAAAATAAAAATATACTTTATATAAAGTAACCAGATTCACTTCCCTGTAGGCACATGGATACTATCCTATCACAGAAAGCGTTGTACCTCATGACTCATCTGGAATTGTTCTTTTTGACAATAAATGCAACAACACCATTCCTCTTTAATTCGTCATTCCTGGCATAGTAAACCATGTGGTTGTCAGATTCAAAATGGCCAATGCCAGTCCATTTCAGCTCACTAATGACTAAGATTTATGTGTTCCATTTCATTTTTGACGATTTCCAATTTCCTTGATTCATACTTGGTACATTCCATTTTCCGATTAATAATGGATGTTTGAAGCGGTATCTCTTCTCTTAAAACCACTATTATTCAAATATACGCACCAACCACTAAAGCCAGTAAGGATGAAATAGAAGAATTCTATCAACTTCTTCAATATGAAATTGATCAAACATGCAATCAAGATGGATTGATCATTATTGGTGATTGTAATGTAAAGGTTGAGAACAAAGAAGAAGGATTAGTACTTGGAAAATATGTCCATGGTGATAGAAACGATGCTGGAGAACAAATGATAGAATTCTGCAAAATCAATGATTTGTTCATTTCTAATACCTTTTTAAAACAGCATAGGAGAGACTTCCAGTTGGGCCTACAGCCTCAAAAACCAGGTAGGGTAAGCTCCGGTGAGAAGGGAAGGGGATCTCACGAAGGAAGGGCTAATAGAACAACTCCAGAGCTCCGGATCTACCATAAGATCTAGGATGTCAGTTTCCTGCACTCACAAGTGAAAAAAATCACGATATTAAGGAAAATATGGGTGAGTTAGGAATCTGGAGACTGGTCTCCCTTGGCGACAACCCTGCCCCTGCAGAGTTTAGAGGGTGGGGTTAAAGCCAGCCAAGCTCAGAAAATGGTGCTTTCAGCAAACACACACACACAAAAAGAGATGTGGGAGACTACACATTTCTACGGCTCTCTCTCCCTGTCCCATCTTCATTTCTTAGCCCGGTCATCAGGTAGGCCAGTTTTCGCACTGTACAGAGGGAGGGAGCTTGGCAGCGACTTAAGATATCACCCACGGACCCACGGATCCAAAAGTTCTCCAGCTGAACTCCTCACGTCAGTGCACCTTGGAATAGTTTCTGATGGCAGCCAACCTGTGTGGGGTTCTGAGTGGGGACGGGGCACCTCACCTTCCTCCCCGGTTGTTGTTGTTGTTAAGTGCCGTCGAGTCAGCTCCGACCCATAGAGACCCTGTACAGGTTTCCGAGGGTGTAAATCCTTACGGGAGTAGAAAGCCTCAATCTTTCTCCCGCGGAGCGGCTGGTAGTTTCGAACCGCTGACCTTAAGTTTCGCAGCCCGATTCGTAACCACTACGCTACCAGAGCAGCTTGGAATTTCCAGCTATTGTCCTTGAGATCCATGGCCACTGTGCTGCCTGAGCTCCCTGTGCAGGACCAATTGAAAGCAATCTGTAAAATCCCAGCATAACAGGACTCAACTATTGTGAGAATTGCGCTGTGCACACTCAGATAACTATGTGACTTTCAGAGACAAAAATAGTGGACAATCTTTCTCCCATTAACTCCCCAATATCTACCTGCACACCTCTACAATGGTGACTAGAGGAGGGACCTGAGACAGTGGTCACCCCCACACCAGGCTGGAGGCTTCTAATTGCACACACACTGATAGTGCAGCACTGGACAGTCGCCCACAGCTTCATTTCTGTTCCAAAGTGGTGATTTTTGTCTATGCACTTATATTAATTCTGCTTTTGGTCCTTTTGATCACACATTTCCTGGAGGTGGGAGCTTTTCCTCCCTACATTACCCAAGAAGAGGCAGTAATCGTGGCCAAATAGCCAAGCTGTAAGCATACCCCATAATATTCCACTACTGTGACAAGACCCAACAACACCCACTAAGCATTACATGCGATAAAGGAAGCCTATCTCCTGATCATATTCACTAGGAGACACCCAGTAAGCAAACTACTAATGTTCAAGTGTCCACTTAAGCTTGAAAATAATAATACTACTAATAATAAAAACCATGCTGAATAAAAAGCAACAAACCTTATCGAAACATGTCCAAAAACAAGAGAGTAGCCACACAAAGGATGAAATACTTAGGAATAAACATAACCAGAGAAACAAAGGACTTATACAAAGAAAATTACAAAGCACTACTACAGGAAACCAAAAGAGATCTACAGAAATGGAAGAACATACCATGTTTCTGGATAGGAAGACTCAACATCGTGAAAATGTCAATACCACCAAGAGCAATCTATACATACAATGCAATCCCAATCCAGATTCCAACAACATTCTTCAAAGAGATGGAAAGGACAATTACTAAATTTATATGGAAAGGAAAGAAACCCAGGATAAGCAAAGCACTGCTTAAAAAGAAGAACAAGGTTGGAGGTCTCTCACTCCCTGATTTCAAAAGTTACTACATGGCTACAGTGGTCAAGACAGCCTTGTACTGGTACAATGAAAGATACATTGATCAATGGAACAGAATAGAGAATCCAGAAATTAACCCAACCACATACAGCCAAATGATTTTTGACAAAGTGCCTAAGCATATTGCTTGGGGAGGAGACAGTCTCTTCCATAAATGGTGATAGTAGAACTGTAAAGCGATATGTAAAAGACTGAAACAAGACTTTTGCCTCACACTCTATTCAAAAAGGAACTCAGCATGGATTAAAGATCTAAATGTGAATCCCAAAATTAAGAAGGTTATCAATGAAAAAATAGGGACAAATGTTAGGGCGCTATTTCAGTGCATATATAGACTACCACACATTTTGGAAAGCACAAAAACAAAAATAGACAAAATAAAAGTTAAAAACTTATGTGCATCAAAAGATTTCACCAAAAGAGTAAAAAGGAAACTCACAGAATGGGAAAAAAATCTTTTGCAATGACACATCAGATAAGGGAATCATTTCTAAAATATATAGGAAACTACAATACCTCTACAAGAAAAAGACAAATAACCCAATTAAAAAATGGGCACAGGACATGAACAGACACTTCACCAAGGAGGAGATCCGGGCACCAACAAACATGAAGAAATGCTCACGATCACTAGCCATCATAGAGATGCAAATGAAAACAACAAGATATCATATCACACCAGCAATACCAGCAAAGTTCAAAAAGGCAAAGGACAACAAATGTTGGAGAGGATACGGAAAGACTGGACCCTCCTACATTGTTGGTAGGAATGCAAAATGGTCCAGCCACTCTGGAAAGCAATATGGCGCTTCCTCAGAAGGTTGGAAAACAGAAATTCCATATGACCCAGCAATTCCTCTACTTGGTATTTACCCACAAGAAATACGAGTCATAACATGAGTAGATATATACTCACCAATGTTCATAGCAGCACCATTTACAATAGCTAAAAAATGGAGACAACCAAAATGCCATCAGTTGAAGAATGGATAAACAAACTGTGGTACATACACACAATGGAGTACTACGCTACCTTGAAGAACAACAAGAAGCAGCAAGACATGGCATAACATGGATGAACCTTGAGGACATTATGCTAAATGAAATTAGTCAGTCACAAAAGGAGAAATACCGCATAAGACCATTATTATAAAAGACTAAGAAAAAGAACCCACCCAAAAGGGAGGGGAAAAAAAAATCTAAAAATATACGTGCTGATCACCAGTACGTATGGGATGAGAGGTGTGGAGAGAGGGAAAGAAAGGGCACAGGATAGGA